TTGAGAGGTTTATGACTGAGTGAGGCCGAGGGCCTGAATTATGAGGATGAGTGTGGATTGGGGCTGCCCGCCTGCAACATACTTTATTATTATAGCACACGAGTTGTCCGTGCAGCACGTGAGTTGTCCGTGCAGATTAAAGCGCTTGAGCTGAAGGAGCCCTTCCGGAGTCTGTACACACCCCCAGTGAGCGCAGGTACCTACTGAATACGAGTGCCAAGTGCTGAGTGACTGGGAGGTATGGGTGATTGTGAGGTATGCCCGAGTGGCAAGAGTGATTGTGAGGTATGCCCGAGTGGCACGAGTGACTGTGAGGTTTGCCCGAGGGGCTGTATATGAGTGATGTTTTGCCCGAGGGGCTCTTTATGATTTCATCATTTTTGCTCACCTTTGCATTTTCCTCTTTTTGAAAACTGTTGAAAAATATCTTTAAATGATATTTACTGGAACTGGGTTTAAACGAGATGTTTTGATTCAAATCCTTATTTTAAAAGCATGTGGTATTTTACTGAGAATTCCTGATATGAACGTTATATGCTTTATTGCTCATCACTACTGCTCAGTCTTTATTTATTGTTGTTACTTACTGAGTTGGCGTACTCACGTTACTCCCTGCACCTTGTGTGCAGATCCAGGTGTAGCTGGACACGATAGTGGTTGTTGATTGTTCTGATTGCAGATTTTCCCGAGGATAGCAAGGTAGCTGCCTGGAGATCGTAGACCTGCTCTTCTCTCTCTTATCTTCCTCTAGTTGTATTTAGCTATTTTTCAGGCTGAGTTAGCCTTGATATTGTTAGACAGATTGTAGTAGATGCTCATGACTAGTGACACCCCGATGTCGGGCTTTTTTTCTTCCGCACTTTTATTTTGATTAGAACTCCTTTATGAAGGTTTTTTTAAAATGTTAAATAACATTGAAATTATCTTTGAAATGAAAATATCAGTTTGTTTTGGAAATGAGTCGGCTTGCCTAGTTCCACGATAGGTACCATCACGACAGGGGTTAGTTTGGGTTGTGACAATCTACCTCTTCAAGTCTAGTATTTTTCATACTAGTTTCTCCTAAATTCATAACAAAAAATAACATATCTATGCTGAATACTTCAGATCTATCTCATATATACCAAAAATACAAGAATACTCAGCAGCTCCCCAGAAGGGAATAATTGATGATAGCTCAGTCAAGCATATTGCTAGAAGAATCTCTTTCTAAGAAGGAGATAAAGATGAGATGATTAATAGATATTTGGAAGAAGTAAAAAGAAACTTGCTTCAATCTATTAATTAGTATAAAAAATCTGACACTTCAATGCGGAGTGAAACTAGCAACGATGATATTGCAGAAGATTCCTAGCCTATTCAATCAGAGAAGATATTATCTGATGAAGCCATAGAAAATGCGGAAGATTTCATCCAGCAGATGAAAGAATTAGAGAAACATGGAGTGTGATCAACAGTGAAGCCACCAGAGACCCCACTCAACAGTAGATACAATGTTTACACAGTAGAAATACTGTATACAGACCCCACTAAATAGTAGATACATTATTTACACAGTAGAAACACTGTATACACAGTAAATTCACTGTATAAGGGACCTACATATGGGACTCACTTTACTGTGCATAGATTCTTTATGTTCTTTTCTCTTTCTATATACAGGATCATTCTTCATTCCGAGAGAGGCATCAGCCAAAACTCTCTCTCTCTTGTAAATCTCTCTCTCTTTCTATTGTAGTCTTGTAATAGCTTTGAAGTAAATAAAATCTCCAATTCATAGCATTCAGGCCTTGCATCCTGGCCTTAAGATGTATTTATTTTTCTTTAATTTCAAGTCTCTTCTCTAGTCTCTCCTCTCTGGCCGTGACTATGTCCGGCTAAGAAATTGCATATCTATGTTGAATATCTAACTTCTCTCCTATATATACCATGAAGGTTCCTAGGCTCTGATACCATCTTAACAGGATTTGGTAGGCGGGCGGTAATCCGCACGGCCATCCCAATCTAGCTAATTTAGTATCCTTAAGTTTAAAGGCTGGCAGTAGTCTGCACGACCAGTAAGGATTTAAGAACAGAAATATACCAGAATTTTCATATAGTTTGCTGACTGTATGGAAGGTCTAACCTTTTACTCGAACAAGGGGCCTGTCTTAATCTAATACATACTCTTATTGAGCCCATGTGTCTAGCGATTCTAACCGTGAAAGAAGATGCCTTTTTTCAACACATTTAATGGGCTAAGGTTCACGGCTTGCTAGACGGAGCCACTAAGGCAAAGCCAATAAGAGTAGTGCTAGATTAGACTGTACCACCATCTCAAAACCAAGCCAAGAAACCATATAAAAAATTCCTTTATATTTTGATAGAGGCCAGGTCTTTCATGGTGTATATAGGAGAGAAGTTAGATATTCAACATAGATATGCATAATAAGCATCTAGATATCTTTAAAAAGATTGTTATACAAAATGGTTTAGTTATTTCAAAATCAAAAATGAGTTTATTTCAAACAAATGTTCGATTTTTAGGACATAATATTTGTCAAGGAATACTCCTATACAAAGATCGATTGATTTTGCATCAAAATTTCCTGATGTTATTACTGACAGGACTCAATTACAGAATACTCAACAGCTCCCCAGAAGGGAATTAGCTAGATTGGGATGGTCGTGCGGATTACCGCCCGCCTACCAGATCCTGTTAAGATGGTATCAGAGCCTAGGAACCTTCATGGTATATATGAGATAGATCTGAAGTATTCGACATAGATATGTTATTTTTTGTTATGAATTTAGGAGAAACTAGTATGAAAAATACTAGACTTGAAGAGGTAGATATACCTCAAAACCTTGATTTATTAAACAAATGGACAATTCCTAAAGTCCCTATTAAAACAATTTATGATTATGGATGGTTTGATAAACTTTCTTCAAAACAACTAGTTAAAACTACTGAGCAATCTTTAGCTTTAAACTTGTCTGAAGAGACTATTCGTTTGTTAAACAAACAAGATGTAGATTTATATAAAAATCAGTATAATTATCTGCATGTTGGTATGGTTCAAATTGCTTTTAAGCCATTAACCCTTAAAGGGTTACCAGAGACGTTTTTGGCTGCTCTTAGAGATGCTAGAAATCTGAATTTTAGACAGTCTCTGATGGGTTCTATTGAATCTACTGTGGCCTACGGTCCAGTATATTTTAATACTCAACCCAATCTTCAATTATCTCTATCTAATGTTAATATACTTGATGCATTGACATTAAATGTGAAAACGCATGGTTATAATTTTGCGCCTGGATCTGAACTTATATGTTTATCTTATAGAATTTATTTTAAATTATTATCTACGTTAAACCCTAGATGTAAACTGTATGATACATCCGATCAGACTATATTGGTGGAAACCAATTTTGCAAAGTCTAAGGTCACCACGAGAAGACCTATTAAGTGGGAAGAAATTAATTTCCCAACTACTTGTACTTTGGATTCAGTTATATCCCCGAGTCAAATAGCAAATGCTGTCAGTAATACTGAATATTCTCATATTACTCAAAATCCGGATGGTAGGATTTGCATTCAATTTGATGATAATAGTTTCACTTATAATAGGCAGTCATTTTCTAAAAATAGACTTTTGCCTACTATTAGTGCTAATTATAATAGGCATTCATTTTCCAATCATAGACTTTTACCTGCAATTCAACATATTTCTCCTGTTGAACCAGTCTATGGACCAGCTCGAAATCGTGCTGAATCTTTACACACTATTTCTACTAAAAGTGATAAGCCTGTTGAAAGGGTTAAGATTAACCCTCAAACAAATATTGTTCAGGATAATGATAATATTTCTTATAAGGATATTCCTTCTGTATCTGAAATGGATTTCAACCCCAATGATGTTTAATGATTCCACACCAAATAGATTTTAGTCCAGGGTCACAAGCTAGAAAATATGTTCAAAAGGATTTTTTTATTAATAAATGAAACCGGTTTAAAACTTGGGTTTTTTATACTTATAGTAAAGAAGATTTAAATAATATTTCTCAAGAATTTTATGAAACTTGTGCTTTACATAATCAAATTATGTACTTTGTTCCTTGGTTTATAATCACTTATTTACCGCTTTACATAAAGGTTTTAGAAAGATCTTATAGAGATGGAAGTGGTAATATTACTAAAGTCATATACCCACCTCAAGCACCTTTTGTTTTACCTAATAATACAGGTATTACGTTTACTGCATTTCAAAAATTTATTGATGAAGATGTTGCTGCAGTCAGCATCGTAGAAATTAATAATTTGATTTCTCAAAATAATTATTTAATTTTATATGTTAAAGTTTTGGGTGAACATATCAGTTCTCTTGATAAAAAACTTAATGAATTAACAGTTTTGATAAAGGAAATGAGTACTAGCAAGAAGATAACTGATATTGCCTCTACTTCAGGAAGCAAATCAGAAGCTCAAATTGTTCTTACTCATGTTCAAAGACCCCCTGAGATTCAGGATTTTAAATTCAAATCGTTAAATGATTTAGAAGAACTTCTTGATAAAAAGTTATCTGGTTTAAATATTAAACCTATTGATTTATCAAAAATATTTTACTGATAAATTAGATACTACTTCTGATTATAAAGATGAAGTCTGGTCAGAGTTTAATAAACTCAGAGGTTATCCCAAAAGGAATAGTAAGTATGTTGATAAACCCAGAATGCAAACTTATTATTATAATTGCCCTACTCCTCAAGATGTGTTAATAGAAGAATGAGATTGGAATTAGACTAATACGTCTTATAGTGGTTCCGAAATTTATGAATGGAATCTTGATGGTTTAACTGATAGACAATTGACTATTCGTGTGCATAGAATGCTTATGTATGCAACTATCTGTAAAACTGTAAAAAATACAGATAGAACTATTTGCAAAATGATTATTGCAGGTTTTACTGGCCAGCTTCGTGGCTGGTGGGATAATTATTTAACTACTGAAGAAAAGGCGATGATTATTAATGTAATAGCCACTGGCGAAGGAGTTGATAACTTAGGCATGGCTCTAGTGAAAAATAGAGAAGATGCTGTTTACACCCTTGTTCTTACCATATTAGAACATTTCAATGGTAGATTTACCAATCAGAACGAGACTGTCCGTACTCTGCTAAATGGCCTTAGATGTAGGACCTTAAGCGAGTTTAGATGGTATAAAGATACTTTTATGAGTAGAGTAATGGAATTACCCGAAAATAAGTATGAACATTGGAAAGCTAAGTTTATAGATGGCCTTCCCTCCTTATTTGCTGAAAGAGTAAGAAAAACTCTAAGGGGTAGTTACGGGGAAATTCCGTACAAAGATTATACCTATGGAAAATTGATAGGAGTATGCACACAAGAAGGATTAAACTTGTGTAATGAGTTAAAATTGTCCAGACAGCTTAAGATAGATAAGCTTAAGGAAAAATCACAATTAGGAGACTTTTGCACCCAGTTCGGTTTACCCGAGACTTCTGCTCATAGCAAGAAAAAGAAAAATAGGTATCATAACCCAGACAGTCCTTATAAGAAAAAGAGATCGAGATATAGATCCAAAGAAGAGCGTGATGCTAGGAAAGCTCATCGCAAGTCTACTAGATTTACGAAAAATAGGTCTAAGCGAGATCTTGCTGATATTAAGTGTTATAAATGTGGAAAATTTGGCCATTTAGCTCCAAATTATAAGCTTCAAAAGCTGAAAACCTTAGAACTAGACGATGAGTTACGTGATAAGGTTTATGGTTTGTTATACACTTCTGGATCAGAATCTGATTATAATTCTGAGTTACAATCTGAAGCTGAAGTCGATTTACTTGATTTATCTGATAGTGATAAAAATATTGATAAAACTTGTACAGCTTGCAAAGGTAATACATGTACTTGTGATGATGATGAATTTTATAAATTACAATCTCAATTTCAAGATTTGAACATGAAAACTATTACATCTGATAATGTAATAGAACTTTTAAAAGAAGTNTTATAAATTACAATCTCAATTTTAAGATTTGAACATGAAACTATTGCATCTGATAATGTAATATAACTTTTAAAAGAAGTTACTGATGATAAACTTCGTGAAAAAATTATAAATTTGGCTGCAAGATCAAGTTCTAGTTCTTCAAAACCTTTTGAAAAACAAAAGAACGAATTTGAATATTCTGCGCCTTATTCTTTGTCTGAAATTAATAACCGACTTAATAATAAAATTATACCAACCAAAGATGCTTCTTTCGATGATTTGAAGGTTGAAACTGAATGTTTAAAAAGGGAGATTAAATCTCTTAAACAAAATCAAATGATTTGTGATCACAGGATTACTCAGATAGAGAAAAATAATTCCGTAACTGAGTTTTCTAATGATAAAAACAAAGGTATTTCTGAAAATGATATTGAGGAAGAACCTATTAGACTTGATTCTAAACATGATATATTTTTGGGAATGATGCAAATTGTTACTGCCCATAAATGGTATATCAAATGTACTATTCTGATTGATTATAGTTTTTCTATTACAAATATTGCTATGATTGATAGTGGAGCTGATGTTATCTGCATTCAAGAAGGTTTAGTACCTACTAAATATTTTCAAAAAATTACTCATATGGTTAAATCTGCATCAGGACATGCTTTAGATATAAAGTATAAATTACCTAATACGGGTATTTGTCAAAATAAAGTCTGCATTCCTCACTTCTTTTTATTGGTTAAAAATCAGTTATACCCTCCAATTATACTTGGAACACCTTTTATTAACAATATTTATCCTTTTACTAGCATAGACTCAAAAGGATAGAAAGATAAGTTACACTTTTGTTACAGATCCCGTAACTAGAGATATAGATGCTTTAATTGATATGAAGCAAAGACATATTGATTCGTTACAGTTAGAATTATTTAGTATGAATATATTTGACACTTTAAAATCCACTTAAGTACAGGAAAAGATTAAATTGATTTCCAAATAAATTGCTATTGATATTTGTGTTGAGCATCCTAGTGCTTTTTGGAATCGAAAAAAATATATTGTCACTCTTCCATATGAAGATAATTTCTCTGAGGATGATATTCCTACTAAATCTCGACCTTGTCAGACGAACGCTGAATTGGTAGAATTCTGCAAAAAAGAGATTGATAATTTGTTACAAAAGGGTTTGATAAAACCCTCAAAATCTCCTTGGTCTTGCACATTTTTTATGTTAATAATGCTGCTGAAAAGGAACGTATTATTCCTAGGTTGGTTATTAATTATAAACCTTTAAATAAGTATTTAAAATGGATAAGGTATCTCATTCCCAATAAAAAGGATTTATTATCAAGATTATATGATGCCAATATATTTTTAAAGTTTGATTTAAAATCTGGTTATTGACAGATTCAAATATTTAAAGAGCATACTTATAGAACTGCTTTTAATATTTCATTCGGGCAATATGAATGGAATGTTATGCCTTTTGGTTTAAAGAATGCCCCTTCTGAATTTCAAAAAATCAAGAATGATATATATATATATATATATATATATATATATATATATATACACTATACACTTATATACTATACTATATATACTATACTATACTATATGTATATTTTATATCGATATATACATATACTTTTTAGTAGTAACATGAAAGTACCAAAGTATGATACTTTTTAGCTAGTATAAATATAGGATGATGGAAGATCAAGTTTTAGTTCAACTCAGATTACGATTTTAACTAATTTCCCACTCTTAGATATATTATCCTCTTTATCGGCTAGCTACACCAGTAGCATAGCTAAATATAATGTCGCTTAGCATCACAGCAGAGAATTTGGCAGTTGGTGACCCTATTAGCCGTATTATATATAGTATAATACGATATTCTCTGCCATAATTTTAAGAGACATTATATTTAGTTATGCTACTGGTGTAGCTAGCTGATAAAGAGGATAATATATCTAAGAGTTTGAAATTAGTTGAAATTGTAATATGAGTTGAGCTAAAACTTTATCTTCCATCATCCCATATTTATAACAACTAAAAAGTACCATACTTTGGTCCTTTCATGTTACTACTAAAAAGTACCATACTTTGGTCGATAAGCTATATATGCATCTTATATAAGCTATATAAAATGTATATATAGTATAGTATAGTATATATACTAAATGTATAATATATATATTCTATATATATATATATATTTTGAATATAGCTTTTATATTATACACTTAGTAACAATAAAGTAAGCAATAGTAGCAATTATAGAAGAAAATTAAAGAGAGATTGTAATAGATTGATGATTTTATAAGAAAAATAAAAATAATGAGGGGGTATTTATAGTTGAAAATAGGGAAAAAGTATAATTATAAAAAGTTTGGGGTTAAAACAAAGTTGGGGGGTTAAATGGCTATTTTATAAATAGCTAACGACTATTTTTGACAGCCCAACGGCTATATTTTAAATTTTTTTATTTTTTTTTACTTTTTTTTTAAAGTTGACCGTTGGGACCGTTTGGCCCGCTAAGGGACTGGTCCGGTCCCGGCGGGCCCAAAGCATAGGACCGGCCCACGAGACTGGCTCAGGCCCACTAAAATCGGTCCTAACGGTCCTGGCCCGTTTAGCCTGCGGTCCCGGACC